TAATATGAAAGATATTTAAATAATGCTGTTTCTAAGATGTAAATAATACAAGAAGTGTTTCTCTGTAACTACCAAATAGCTCAATGATTTTATTTTACATACAATAAATTACTTTATCGAGTTATTATTCATACTGGTAAATATCAACGGAACAACATTTAATGTTATCATGTGCGATATATCTCTTTCGATTACCTCAACAAATAATCAATAAATTATTTTATCGTGTTCAGAACAGCTTGATCGCTTATACTATTGGATACGTTTTTGCTACGAATGTTAGGTCTGAATTGTTTCAATGTAAGTGGTTAACTAAAGGATAAAGCTTACTAATCTACAAACGCGCGTACTTAAAAAAAAAAAAAAGAACATTGTCCTTAGATCTCCCCCTTTCATAAATTTGTGGTACAAAAATTTGGTGTGACCCAAATATACAATATCATAAATTAGTAAGAAACTGTAAATAGTTATGATAAAAATGACGTAGGCTTCGACACATGAAACAACGATGATTCTAATTTCTTATAACCTGTATTTGTAATAATTCATATGGTCCAGTCCTTATTGGATCTGGTTGCTTACAATGAAGTTGATTGCCATTTCTAACACATATTAGAGAACTAATATGAAAGTTGTTTTCTTTCATATTTTCATCACATATCATGTTGTTACAATTGTAGTATTATTTTCTACTATTGTTGAAAGGTATTCTCCTATCGTCCTCTCATCTATTATTATTTTTTTTAATTTTTTGTTAATTTTTTGGGTTAAAATAATATATTTACCCTATTTAATAAATATTTTGGCTCAAATTCTGTTACTGTGTGCTTCGTTTTGTTATATCTATCGACACAATTATGTGCTATTGTTGTCCATGCATACTTACTTATTTCTTTGTTTATTCTATATTTTATTTTATTAATTAAAGTTTGATTTAGTCTTCCATTAAGGCAGTTAAAAATGGTGCCTTTATTCCTGTAAAAACCATTGTTATATGATCTTTTTAAAAAAAAATTTTTAATTTCATTCAGCTTATGCTAGGGGGTGAATTTAGTAATAGTATTTTAATCTCATGGTTTTTTAAGTACATTTTTTGTGAGTTTTATAAAGTCGTTGGCATTTTATGTTTTCAATGTTAGCAAACATGCAAATCTTGTCAGGTGGTATAACACAAGACATATTGATTTTTTTCAGATTGTAAACCACCAAATCCACCACTTGTGTCTATAAACACTATTTGAAATGGCTTGCTTGCTGAACTGAGCTGTAACACTATGCCATTCTATCTTGTCTTCTTTTTTTATTTTTTATCCGTACTTTAGAAATTCTGTAGATTTTTCTAATATTTTGTGATGTATTTACTACTGCGTAATAATGCAATACCTTATTGTTGTATACGGTCAATTTTTATATCAAAAAAATTGTTTTCATACTACCTGTAATAGATTTTTAACTTACTCTTTAGAAAATATAATTTTTTTATCTATTTCTTATATTTTTAAAAAACAAATTATTTTTTTTAATTCAATAAATAGCCTATTGTTTTTATAATATCGTTCTTTGGTTATCTTTGACTATATCGTTTGAATTTTTTTTTATTAACAGCTTATAATTCATGACTCTTCTTTTCCTACGTTTCTTATCCAGGATCTCGTAAGTCTACCTGATTCAAGATTGTCTTTACCAGGGTAGTGTTTTAGATTAAAATCAAGTTGTGACAAGTCATATGTAAGGTCCCCTAATTTTTTATCTGTTTTACCGTTTATGTTTAATTTTTTTTAAGGTTTATTTTCTAAATATTGTATAAAATATTTGCCTACAAGCTAATGTTACTTATGTTTCAATTCTGTACATTCTTAGTAAATTCTTTTTTTTTCTGTTGTGATTTCTTTAATTTTTTAAAATGATATCTCAAGTGATAATGCTATCAAGTATTTATTTAAAAAAAAAAGTATTCGATGTTTTGACCTCTGCAGTTATTAGAATAACAAGGCCCTTGTCAGGTACAAGTTTTCTATCAACAGAAAAAAAACGCAAACCATAACGCATTAAATATTTGAAGAACAAAAAGTTATATTTAAAATTTTTACTCTAAGTCACACTTACAATTATTGCACAGGTGACTATGTGTCGCACGCAAGATGTTAAGGTGGCAAATTTAACACTTTGATAATTCACAAGTACTCATGTAGGCGCCTGTCATACATGTATGCTATGTCTGTGTACGCGTTGGTTTAACAAAATGCTACAAACAAATAATTTAAAAAATTGTTATGAAGATCTTATTGATAAGATCGTTTAAATACTTGGATTGTCACTGTATGATACTATATTAAAAGTTTTAAATTTAAAGAAGAGTTGTAGTGTTGTTATAACTTTTACATAAATGTCAGCTGACGTGTACAAGGACATAGCATATATGTGTGACGCCATCCCCGGGCCGAAGCTCAAAACAGGCTCCGAGGCGAAAACAATAGCTCATCCCACGAACAGATTAGCTATGCTCGACAAAAATCACGCAATCTTTCTCTCTGCCCTATGCAGCCTCTACCTTTAAGTAGAAAGCGCTGCCAGCATTCCGATTCTCATGCTTGACTAGATATCACTGTACGCGCTCTGTCCACAGAGATTTACTGTTTAATATTAGTAAACGATTATGTAAATTAAGAGAGTCCCTTTTATTTTACGACCTGCTTCGTACCTCCTAGAACCTCGAGCACTGGGGCGCACTCAGACGCGGCATTCCTGACTTCTCCAAAGAGGTGATTTTGCCAGAATACTCAGTTGAGGTAAGCAGTGCCATGCAATGTGCGATGATAAAGTGACACGAGAGCGGAAGAAAGCAACTGTTAACGGCTGTCCTCGAAGTTTATGCTCCACGGCCATTTCTCTCTCACCCCAGTAATATTATTCATTCTCTTATTGTGCTTACTATGCACCACTTGCAACTTGGGCCCAATAACCTTTGCTCACGTGACACGTATGCTCAAAAAAAGATCATTAGCCACAGAGCAAGCACTCGGCCTCACGGCCATTTATATTTCTTTTGTCATTCTTTCTAGTGAGAGTGTGGGATGGAGGCTAGCCAACGGATCTGCTCTTTCTTCCCTCGTGTTAACACTACCCATGTCTGCAGTGCTGCATGGTGACAAATGAGCTCGACTCAATAGCCCAGCATTAGCGTACCGTACATGCCTTTTGTTCGTTAAGACTCAACAAAGGTGAGTGTGCTAAGGTCTGCCATTTTGCTTGCGACAAACAAAGTCGTCCCTCGTGCTACTTTGTGTTCGAGTGCAATAAAGTGCCAGTGCCGTACATTAACTTTTTTTAAAACTATTATTCTTGTGCTGCAGCTAAGCCGTAGCTCACTCAGCCCCCCATAACTTTTTCTTTGACTTGTATTTTGTATGCAAGTGCAAGTGAATCTTTTGCATACCAGGTCATACGAGCCAGAGCACGCATAAGCTGCCAGCCACGCACTATTGTGCCATCTTTTTTTTTTTACCCCAACGTACCCTCACCTGCAGGGTGACACGTACATAGCTAACGTTAGCGCCTCTGCATTTGCAACGCTGGAAGACGTGGACAAAGACGTAATGCCACACGACGAATGCCACCAGCGTCGCTTGGAGTGGTAAGAGGAAGATTAATGGTAGGTAGCCCTCACCGCCATCAAACAACAGTAGCAGTTGCGGGCTCAACAGCAGCAGTAGCGTACGGCCACTATGTCTGATCCAAAGATCCCTCGCTTCTAGGCCAAGGCGCCCGTGGCATGGATTGCTCAGATGAAAATCATCCCGCAATCCACAGACATCACCGACGACAGCCAGTGCTATATCCTGCTCGGCGGCGAAGTTTTTTCGGCCATAGACCTGAGAAAAGCTTTCTACCAGACTCCGATCACCAAGGAGAACATCCCAAAGATAGCGATAACCACACCATCCAGACTCTACGAGCTTACCAGGTCCTTCATGGGCTAATGAAACGCCGCTTAATCACTCCAGTGGACAATGAACCACATGCTGCGTAGCCTGCCACTCACCAAATGCTACCTTTATGACATCTTCGTGGCTTCCAAAAGTCACAAGCAGCACCTACTACACGTGCGTCAACTCTTCGACATCCTACGCAAAGCGAAGCTGTGCATCAACCCACAGGAGTGCGTACTTGGCTAGCTGGAGGTCAACTACGTGAGCTAAACTGTCTCTGCTAATGGTGTCCGCCTTTCAATGCACAAAGTCAAGGACATCCAAGACTTCCCGAGACCGAAGAACTCATCCAAGCTCCAACGGTTCCTGGTCATGGTGAACTTCTACAGGTGCTATGTGTCTGGAGTTGCTAACGCCATGGTTCCGCTCAATGATCTGCTAAAAAAACTGCCGCCAAAAACTGCTCTGACGGAAGCGGCTACCACTTTCTTCCTCATGCTGGACGCCCCAATCGCCTTGAGGACAGACGCTTCCGAAACTGTCATGGGTTCTGCCTTGGAGCAGGAGTACCTGCGTGGCACCTTGAGGCCACTTGGCTTCTTTTCCACGAAGCTGTCCAAGGTCGAAGATAACTACAGTACCTATGACAAGGAACTGCTAGTTATCTACGTGGCCATCAAGACCTTTGAGCGAATCTTCAAAAGACGGCTATTCACAGACCACACGGACCACAAGCCTATCGTCTTCACAGGCCACCAACGCTCGAACAAGGCTTTGGCAAGATAGGCTCGACAGATCGACTATATCCTGCAGCACCAGTTGACTCTCTCCCACGTCAAGGACAAAGAGAACGTGGTGGCCAATGCGCTTTCTCGCATCAACGACGTTACCATGCCATCTATCCTGGAGCCAGACGTTATCGCAAAGGTCCAAGTCAACGACTTCTAACTCAGACATCTGCTGAATTACCCCCACCACGACCTTCAAATCCTGCAAATCGACAGTCAACAGATCCATTACGATTTCTCGACTGGGAAGGTGAAGACATACCTTCCAGAACCACTTTGCAGCATGGCATTCGAGGTCTTTCACAACCTCTTACACCCTGACATCAAGTCCACAGCACGTCTCGTCTCCGAGAAGTTCATGTGGCCTAAGCTGCAAAAGGAAGGTGTAATTCACTGGGCTCAGTGGTGAGAGGCCTGTCAATGCTCTGAATACCACAGGCACAGCCGCTCAGCTCTTGGTGACTTTATTGTTAGTGCACATCTGCGTCTACCTGCTGAAGCTCCCCTTGACCAACGGCTTCCTGTAGTGACTCACAGTGACAGGTTTATCAGGTGGCCGATCGCCGCTCCTACTCTAGACCAGCAGGACACGACCGTCACCAAAGCCCTACACGACAACTGGATCGCAATCTTTAGAACGCCCCTGACCATCACTTCAGACCAGAGAGCACAGTTCGAGTCAGTGCTCTTCACCGAACTTGCCAAGATTATCGACTCGAGTCATATAAGGACGACCCCTTACAATAACCAATGTGAAGCTTCTTACAAAAATATTTAATAGGACCGTGCAAGTGGGGAATACACGGTATTTTGGTTTTTCTTGGTCTTGTATACAGTTTATACAAAAAATTAAATCCGATCTTTTCACTTGGAAAACATATAACCGAGCTATTCGATAAAAATAATGTCGTTTACCATATACCATGTGCGAATTGCAACTGCTGTTTTGTTGGTCAAACATCAAGAGCTTTAAAACAAAGAATGGCAGAACATAAAAGAGACATAGAGAAAATAAGGATACATCTGTACTATCACAACATAGCATTGAATTAACACACAACTGCAATTTTAATAAGATAAAAAATTATAGACATGGAACAAAATTATAAAAAGCGGTTGTTTTCGGAAATGTTAAATATACATTATTTCAAAAATAATATTAGTAGACAACAGGATACAGAAAAATTATAAAATTGTTACAAGTCTCTCGCTAAGTCAATGAAAAAAAGAGGCTAACTTGATGTACATGATTTGAGGGCCCCTTTCATTTATAGTATTAGGAAAACATAATCTGTTTACGTATGTCTCACAAGGAACTGCGATTCTTATTTGATTGTATTGAGAGCGTGTATGTATTATGTCATTTGTATATGTGCTGTGTATAAAAGCAACAAAACTTGAAACTCTGACTACATTGCGATTTTACATCCCCTTCGTAAGAGTCAGAGGTATATTATACACTTTTTCTAATTTGCGTTTATTGTATTTATCAAAATTTATATTGTAAAGAATTTTTATTACTCATAGATCTTTGTACATGATGGAGGCCAGGACATTGTATAAACGGCTGAAACATCGTTTTGTTTTGTAATAAATACAAAATTCAACAGTACCGCCACTGGACGATATTTAAATTATTAACCAACTGTCATTATAGGTCTTATATTATTCACATTTTAACAAAAATTTGAAACCAAAAACTTTGCTAATTTTTTTATAGTCAGTATTAAGCAACGTTTTTTATGTATAATGTCTCTACGTTTCATTATCATCCTATAACTATTTATAGACAAATATAGTATGTATTCAATAATCTTGCCAGGTTAATTATATGCAACAAATTTTTTTATTACATTTTATTAGATTACTAGCATACTAAGAAAATTGACTCTTTATAGTTGAACTACACGTATGTCTTAGAAGATTCTTCAAAAAATTTGTTGTTGTATACGTTTAAAAGCTTATCAATACTTGATTTGTATTTTTATTATTTTTACAGTAACCATACAGTTATATTTTCTTTTTTTTTTATTTGTTTATAATATGTGCTTATGTTCATCGTGTATTCTTTCATCATTAATTATTTTGTGTTTCTTACTTTAAAGATATGCAACCTCCAAATGCATTTAAAAGCTTAAAAATTGTATATTCTTGGCTTAATTTAAATAAAGGTAGTACAGCAATATTCACAATAAAGCTTTGGTTACGAATGGATTTTGTAATTGAAAAAACGCTGCAGAAGTAATTAAACGACATGCTTACAGCTTATTTGACAGACAAAACATTGAGACTTTATGAAAACCATACAAAAGTTAATGCAGTCGAGACAATATCTAAATCCAAGACAAATAGATGATAGATCCATTGGTGTCATATTTGTGTCTGAAGATTTAATTTGTTCAGAATATTTTCTTGGCTTTTACTTAACAACGAGAATAACTGCTAAAGCATTACTCAATCTTGTTTAAAACGTATTACCACGTTGTAATTTGCTGTGAAACAGACTTCGAGGTCAACGATATGATGACGCAAGAACTGTGTCTGGACATATGTCAGACTTGCAAACTTAATTGAGGAGACTCTAATTGAGAGCACTTAATTTTCACTGCAGTGCTGATAATACAAAGCTTGCAGCACGAGATGAAATTAAGACCATCATAAAAGTAAAAAATTTTGTTAGTGTTACCAAAGATATTATTAAATGTGTACAAGATTTACCACAACATCTTTGTAGGTTTCAAAAAATTTAAGAAAAAATAAAAAAGGGCAAGCAGAATGATGTAGAAACTTTATAGAACAGTTCTAAAAAATATTTTTCAATCACTTTTCTCTGTCCTACAAGGTATTCATCTTAATTCTAAAGAAATAATCATAATCTAAAAAGTGTTTTTAATAATTTGCTTGGATTTCTTAAGAACCTAATATGGTTAATGAGAAATAATTTACGAAAAAAAAAAATTGAGAAATTAAGAGGATTTTAAGATCAGACTTCACTATATAATTAGATGGATAATGAGATTTTAGCCAAAAATGCTGGATTCATAAGAATACTTTAAATTTTGATTTCTATTATCAGCAGTGATTAGAATTTATTATAAAAATAAGAGGCTCAACACTCAACTTCAGAAATCTAAATTAAGTTTTATTTATGTATTTCAGAAAGTAAATACCATTAGGCAATTTTTTTTTAGTTTCTTGAAAATCCAGTTTTTGATCTTTATAGAAAAAGTTAATCAACAACCCCGAAAATTTGATATTAAAGAGCCTATGCGTCTGTGACCTAAGAAAATTTCCAAGTAAGTGGATTCTGATGCTAAACCAACAAATTTTAACCTTAAAACTCCAAGAGACATGCACAAATAAATTTTTTTTAGACTTATGATTGGGTGTATTCATCTTTGAGAGATCAATTTGATACTATTTAACCAAGTTTTTTACATCACTGAAAGCGCACTTTTGCGATCGGTAAACCTAAAGACGTCATAATTATATCTTAGTTGTAAAAATCCGATATTTTGGCGAAAAATCTTACGAACGATCGAGATACCTGTCTATAGTATCTAAAAAAAAATGTTAATAATTTGAGTAACGCTGGTAATTCCCTGGGAGTAAGAATGTGGTGCTGAGAAGTAGTTCCAGAATATTTGATATTTAAATGCTTATTGTGAACCATTCTAGCGTCGGTGTGCACAAATACAAAAAATTTTTTCTTGCTTAATTCGCTAAAAAAATTTTACGCGTTTTACAATACTAAATAGATTACATAATCTCACTTTTAAACAGATATATAAGTTTGTTTAAGAGATCAATATTACAAAATTAATGGATGAAGTTATCTGATGCAATTCTAAGTTAATAAATGTATATCCACTTTCTCATGCAAAAAGACAATGTGTGATAAGGTTAAATTTATAAATAGTACATTAAATTTATAAAAATTTATAAAATAGTACTTGAGACTTACAATTAAATAATATTGAACAATGAATAGTACCTAAGTACTTGTATTAATCGTTACCTTGAACTAACGATTACTAGACTTTAGATGTAAGGCTTTTAAAATTAGCTACTTGATTAAACTTCTCTCTTGACACAAATTTTTTGAAAAGTCACCTACCTGATCATGATCTGTTTTATCACTCCTGATAACGTTTTTTGAGGAGAAGTGTAACAAATATACTATGAAGAAAGCTAGTTTCTGCGATTGATCTTGTAACATGTAAACTTATCCAATAAAAATGACATATGAAAGATCACATATGAGAAGTGACACTTATTTACAGATTTTACTCAGATTGTCTTCATATTTCATTGCTCTACTTCTGATAATAAGCCCGTCGCATTTAGAATGCTTATAAAAAAAAAATGCTTAGAAAATTTATAATACAGTAAAGAAAATAAAGCACTGTTCTTTTCACTTTTAATCTGCTCATTTCTATGAACCTTCTTGCATGTTTAGTTATAGCTTTAGGTAACTAGATATTTTATTTAAATCAAGCATTTCTTAAGTTGTATATCATTTGTTTTGAAAACCATCTTTTTTTGACGAATGGTTAGTATTTTAAAAAACATAGAGCTAAAATTGTGTAAATCTCTTAGGAACTTCTTGTTTCTTTTACGATATATTCGTGTACTATTTTTTATAAACCAACCTGAGCATTCCACAAAACTGAATCATCATGACTACCAAAAGTTTTGGAAAGTATGCCCCAATGAATAGTGGCTTCATTTGCAATATACCATTACGTAAGCTCACCATAAGCTTGTGTTTATTGAACGATTTTTCAGATTGGTTCAGCATCTCCTTTTCTAAGAGTTTAATCTGAAATAATAAGTAAAAATAAAAAGAATTTTCCCTGATACACTCATCATGAAAGTTTGATAATATAATTATTTAACATTCTTATAAATACAATAAAAGATGAAAACATTTATTAAAGCCTTTTTAGTCATGTAATACAATGTATTTCATGTTACCAACATGATTTTTTCAACGATTTGGTAATGAGATGAAAAAATAAAATGTATGTACAACCTTTGAATTTTTCATTCTTATCATTTTACCCCAACTAACATCTATTCCTGTTATTTACAGACCTAACTTAATATTTAACAACGATATCAAGATTCTAACCCTCATCCTCTAAAAAATGAGAACCAGAATTTCCGATGCAACTCTTAGTCAACATTTAATCAAGAATCATCAATCAATCATAACTACAAAATCTACACACCGTTTTAAACGTAAAAAATAAAAAATAAAGTAGTGGTGTGTTAACGTTGGAAAATATTTTAGCATTTTTCAAAAGTTTTTTTATTATTTTTGAGTGAACGAGTTAATATGATTAGTTATGATGTATCAAAAACTGCACAAAATTCAATAAGAATACAACAATGAAATTAAAAGAAAAGCTTTGCAGTGATCGTCAGATTCACAAATTTTTACGTAGTGTGTTCTGAATTAACAATACATAATATATAAATCTCAGGAAATTCATTATTTACTAAAAAAAAAAAGATAACAGTTTACGTGCATTATTAGTTAAATTAATAGCAGACAGAAGGAACCTTTACTCTTTCTTGTCGAAGAAAATAAACTAAACTCAATAAAATTTAAAAGGAAGCAAAAAAAGTTTTTAGGTCCAAAAATTAAAAAAAAATTGTAAGCTGTATTTTTAAAAACTCACTTCTCATTTAACAACGACGGTCAAATAGCAACACTCCCGTCACTACCATTTATTATTGTTAACAAGGATTAAGACTTAACAAAAGTAGACGATCGACTGTATTCGCTAAAATAAGAGTAAAAACTGGCTAAAAACAAAATTACTGGTAACATTTAGGTAAGGTTGGTAGTTAATTATAATTATAAAATAGGTCACTGTTATACGATAGCTATGAACATAAATGACAAGTAAACAGAATTACCAATACCTCTACAAGAACTTGAGCCTTTTCATCAATAAAATCTGATTGCTCTCAACATTAATCCCGAAAAAAGTGACTAGAATAACATACAAGATTGCACTGAATTAGTGATGAATGATTTGATAAGAACTTGTGACAAGATAGCTAGTACATTGTAAATAACAAAAGTTGTAAGCGAACTATAACTGCTTGTTTTATTTTCCACTCAACCTAGCTTCTCGTACTTTAATTATGACACAAAAAATACGTACGACAGACGATCATCCAGTAAGTTTTAAATGATGTCGTTATCCAATATAAAGAAATAGTAACTCATATAAAACAGTTATAAGATCACGGTATTATTTACATGTCGAATATTCTTTACAGTAACCCCCACTTAACAGTAAGAAAAAAAAAGAATTGATGAGAAAAGCTTACAATTTATTTCTTTATCAATAGATTAGTGTTAACTGGAAAAAATAAAACATTCTTGATAAGTTATCTATAAACAAACAGCACTAAAATATAAAAAAAAATTAGATACTCCCACTACTTCTTCAGTTATACTATAATTGGTGTGTTTTAACAAATAAAAATTGGTCCCACAGATATATGTTAAACTGCTATTAATACATCCATAAGTGACTACGAATATGTAGGAATGCCATATTGGTTATGTAGTGCACCGGAAACAGTTAAATGACGGATAAATGTTATCTGATTTAGACTGCAAGATATCAAGCTATTAATATTTCTTGTAGACATTATTCTATCCTTAAAGTTTTTTATACATCACAATAAGAAAATCACCAATTCATTAGAAAAATTATATGAAATAAAATTTTTGTTTAGAACTTGACTAATGTTGACTGATAGTGCCTTAAGTTGTTTATTTAGAACATAAACAAAATTGCTATAGAGTAAATTTAGTTTTTTTAAAATTAGAAACATTAAAAGAACTTTAGATTAAAAAATAAATTAAATGCCTGATATTTCCTAAGACAAGTGAACTATCACCACCAATTTTTGTAAAAGCTTACAGAAATTATACGATCTTTCTTTTCTTTTTAAAAAAAAGTAGATAATTTTAAAATACAGATACTAGAAAAGAAAACTTTGATCAGTAAAGAAATATGTTATGCAGAGCACCTTTGTTAGCTTATACTAATACAAGTAAGCCATTCACATTAGTGACAGATGCTAATAAAGCTCACGGAGCTGTATGCAATTAAATCTAAAAAATTTTGAAAAGCCGTACTAAGTAAAGGAGAATCAAGAAAATACTATTTAGCAGCGTTAACATAAAAAACTTTAAATAACGCTTTGAAAAATCGTTTAACAATCAAAAACATATGCTAAGCTGTCACTAAAGCTATTGCGTATTCTCTGCTATAGGTCATGAACCATTATTGTAAATTAAATCTCTTAAAAGCGTAATAAGTAAGTTGAAAACAAGTAGGGAAAGACTTCAAGATTACAACTATACTTATAAGAACACAGATCTCGTAGATTGAATATTAATGCCAGTACTCTACGGAAAAACCTGATGGATATAAGTAGAAACTAGAGTTATAGAAATATATCATGACTAAACAAACAACAACTGTTTTCCCTCTCAAAGTATACTAAAAAATATTAATCTACATTGGATACAAGAAGATATA